GATTTCTTGGTCCCATTTTATTTTTTTTAAAAACCCAAACTGCCCAGAGGCGAATTTACTGCAGAATCTGGTACTAGTACTAGTATGTACAAATTTTGGGTGTATTGTTTTCTGGGGACAATATTAATCGAAACAATGAACTATTTAATTATATAACACAAGTGACTATGGGAGAAAAACAAATCACTTTTCTAGAAGCCATGGATCGATTCGTTATTTGCAAGATCGCCTCCCCGGCAGGTTCCATGTTGCCATGCCTTTTCTTGTCAGAATCGTATTAAGTCTAAGTTAAGTCTGACACCATCTCATTTATCTTGGCTTATGAAGAACTTGAAGGTAAACCCAGTAATGATTTAAAATTTTTACAAGCAGCATTACATTTTAATAACAGTAAAAACCATGTAAATAATGCAGATTGCTGACATGTAAAGGGTGGAATGAACATGTAAATAAAGTACAATATAAATGTGATTAATGCCTGTTTATGTTTATTGTGTAATAGTTCGTGCAAAAAACTATTTTAGAAAAATAAAGTGCGGTAGCGGCAGGGACCCCACATATGTTTAAGGGACCCACACATTTTATAAGGGGTGGGTCCCAGGGACTCCACATTATCGAACACTAATGCAACCCCTGATATATATATATATATATATATATATATATATATATATATATATATATATATATATATATATATATATATATATATATATATTACAATTTCTGTACATTCTCCAGTGCTTGTGTATTCTTTTGTTTTTTTTGTTATGTATAGTCATATGGGCCTGTGGCCTAAAAGACAATAAACAATAAATAAAATATAAAAATAAATATAAATTATTTTCAATATTCACGATTGGCATTGTGCACAGAATGTTAAAGTCGGAGTAAACAAATAGTTACGCGTTTGGTAATTTTGAAACCCGGGTACGAGTTTTGAGTGTGAAAAAATGCGAAAGGTGCATTTCATGAAAAAAAAATGTCCATTTCTTCTATGAAGATTATTTTGTTCTTCTATTTTGTTTCTGCACAACCCAACAAAATAATGGTATCGCCCATATCAAACAGACAGATCCGTTCATGACGTCAGCTACCTGAAAGTATTTTCGAAGTCAGTTTACGACTCCCATGGATACAACGCATAATTAGATTGACATGACATGTTCATGATGTCGCAGTCAAACATTTTACTGGCTTGCGATAACGAGATAAATTGTAAATAAATAAATAGTTTCCTATATATAAGACAACTATCTACGAACTAGAATAAACAAAATGAAGGTTTTGATGCCGTACTTATTGTCACGTGACACCGTGAACCCTTGTACTAATTACACTGTTGATACAAAGGAAATAAGGCAAGTCACACGTAATATACGCAATAACACGTTTTGTTTATTGTTTGTTAGCAACAACAATTTGACAAGTTGACCAACACAGCATTGGGTTATTGGGGCCATGCAAAACTCGTATAATCATCAGTACATCGTATTCTGTGATATTAGTGGGCATATTTGGAGCGTCTCTGTCACGAAATCCATGGCAACGTTCTCACGGGAAGGGACATCGGCACATTGACATAAAGTTGTGAGCGTGACGTAGAAATAACGTGTACAAAGCGCTGCCAAATGTTCATGAGCTGAAAAAAAGATATCCCATTCCTCTTCTCTTTGCCTAATATTCGTCTTCTTCCTCGCCAGCAGGCGAAGAATCGGCACCGACTTCTTCGTAATCTCTCTCCAAAGCTGCCAGATCTTCACGCGCCTCGGAGAACTCT